CTTCTATAAAACAGGGTGGAGCTGCTCCTATTTATTCCTACTTCCATGTGTGTTGCAGGAAGGACTTTGGTTGGCCCAGTCCGATGGCCCGGGCACCAGCCGGGAGAGCTCCCGAAACGTGCGGAGAAGAGGATCCAGGTCTCGTCATCGCCTGCCGACGACGACGACCGCTGGAGGGCCTGCCGTCCCCGAGGGAAAAAAACAACCGAAGGACATATAGATCATGACCAATAAATCCTAGGACTGTTTTTCTGGGCAAGCTGTCAACTCCAAACTATTTGGAGCATGGCCACCCCCCTGTACCAGCCTGCCATGTGACGTTCTTCTTGAGTTTGATGAAGTTCAGGGCCACGTGGCCGGGTCCGGCGCCATGTCTGGATAAAACATGTTCACCCACATAATATTCACCCACATAGTCACGTAGATCTTATGTGCAGCAAAATGCAGTTGAATATGGTTGAGCATCCAAACGGGGAAGCCTCCCGGAGAAGTCAACATCTACTCCATGTTTACCTTCACCCTGGGAGGGCGGCGCAGCCATGGCCTGGCGTGGTTGCGTGGGATTTGACCTGTCCACAAACACCTCCCCGGCCAGCGGGTGGCTGCCTGGGTAGCTTCCCCCCGACCGTTACTTGGATGGCGACAATGCTGGTATCCTGGTGATGAACTTCGCTTGCCACCTGCTTTGATGAACCCCTACGGCACCTGAGTGCGGATCACACTTCCTGGCCATGCAGAGGGGCGGAGGCTTCGCTGTTTGCTCGGAGTCCTGTGAAAATCTTGGGCTAGGTTGATGGCGGGAGGCATGATGACTTTGCATGTCAGGCCCTTCAGGACCAGGACAAGTTTTGAAGCTGTTTTTCATGCCAATTCGCTTCGGGCGGCAGGACCTTCGCAGCGGCCCCGTCTGACCATGCAATGCATCGTGGCAATGCAGCTGGCGCTGGCTGCAGCGCCAGCTCCGGCTGATTCCGGCTCTCTGTTGCGGTCTCGGTCGGCTCTTTCCAGCTCTTTCCGGTCTCGGTTTGCTGTCCGACCGATGCTGGCTTCGTAGTGAAGCACGTGGATGTTGCCGAAAGCACGGCTGGTTCGAGGGTTAGCAGTGCAATTGGGTGCGTGACTTCATGTCGCAGTGATGAAGTTCGTGATGGAGACGTTCGTCTGAATCTGTGAGTTGGCGGTTTTGCTTAGTGACGTCAGTTACCATGGCTAGTGTTTTCCACAGGTTGGTGCTCCAACATTTTTTTTGGAGATGCGTTGGCGCTGCGGCGCTTGAACGCTGCTTCCAGCCATCACTGTACGTGGCCCAGGCTATGGCAAAGCAAGACTGTGACTACACACACACACCATGTTTACCTTCAACCCGGTTTGGTGCTGCCATGGATGAGGGATTTACTTTGGGCCTTGATTGGTGGGATGCCAGTACTTGGATTTGATGCATAATTTGTTACAACAAATAGGCCCCATGTTGATCTTATTTTGGCGACTTAGGATGTGCAGTTTGATGGCGTTGCTCAGAAAGTGGTTTGTTCACCAAAAGTTCATTGCTCCAGCGGGGATATACAAAGCTTCAAAGGCATGCAGAGTTGCCCCAGTTCACCAAAAGTTTCCTATCGGTTGCAGTAGATGGCGTGCTCCAAAAGTGAAAGAACAAAAATCCGTCAAGGCTGTTGGGTGCTAAATCCTTCCAAGTCCAGTTGGCAACTCCAGTTCTGCAGGTGCAGGTGGTCGCTGAAACCATCACAGGATGTCTCCCGAACCGCTCGCTGCCGAACCGCGGCGCCCCGCTCGTCGAACCGGTGCCTTGTCGAAGAAAGGCCGGTCGTCCTTCGCAGCTCCCAGTTTCCACGTAGCTGCCCCGCAGCTTGGGGTGCGCGCTGCTGACCACGAGCTGCTTCGCCATGGGCGAGGTAGAAAGAAAGGATCCCCCCAACAGGTGCCGTTTGGGTAACATGCTTCAGTTTATCAAGAGATTGTGGAGGAGAGGAAATGTAAAGAGATGTCTTCCTTTTCTTGACAAAAGTCTGACTGAGGAGTTGAGCTGGCAGTTCTGTCTCAGGACGGAAAATACGTACGGCCTTGGAAGAGTCACTAGCTCTACACTCTGTGTCAACATGGAAGTGGAACCCGTACATGTTTGTAAAGCAAAATGGCCATCCGAGGGGCCATGCCATCCACTTGTATGCTGTGTGCCGGCACCGTTGACAAGCATGGCGGTCCTTGCGGATTTCTTGTGTGCTTGTGATCTTGTGGAAAACATGATGAGCAACCTTGTGCCCGCCATTACATTGTGTCTAGAGCATGGTCTAGTCAATGTGCCGTCTGCTTGAAAACATCTGGGTTATACAAACAGCACATGCGCACACACCCATCATAAGCTCCAGCATCCTACTCAGTTCCTAACCTGTAGCAGCAGCAGCAGCAGCAGCAGCGGCAGCGGCAGCGGCAGCGGCAGCGGCAGCAGCAGCAACAACAACCTTGCATGAAATTGTAAGCCGGTTGCCAATGTAAAGAATGGGGACTAATGTCGGTCCCTCAAACAGGCTGTTGCTGACGACATCGATGATGGGTTGATGACATCGATGACTCCAAAGGATGCCAAAATCGATGCTCGGACGGCTCGGGTGGTTTTCATCGGCGTAGCTGACATCATCCGTCCTTCGTGCAAACCTGTCGACTAAGACTGGGCACCTTAACCCAGCGGAGTAGCTCATACCATCATTGGCTAGAGAACTATCTATGCCCATCCGAAATGGGGCTGCTGACAGGCAAGGACAACGCCCGAAGGAATCCGCTGGCAACAAGACTGTGTCCGGTGGACGGGCTGAAGCACACATGATCTGATCTAGCGTCGTTGGATGCAGCACACTCCACAATGACTGGAAAACTGGAAAACCACTTTTTGCAATAATAACGTGTCTCCCAGGTCCAAACCGAAAATATACATGGTTGATTCATGCGCGTTTTGTAGATAATCACAGCTGACAGTATCATGAATTGCCTAGGCCCAAACATGCCTCGGATTCCATGATTCTGGACAATTTCCGAGGTGGCCGCAAGCTGGCACACAGTAGTTCAGCCATTCATCTCACCAAACCCCAGTAACAAACTAGCCAAAGATAGCCTAAGCTTCTTCAGGTCTCCTCAAAACCTCCAGAAGTAAGGCATGGATGCGCCTGTCTGCAGGGGCAGAACGCCCAGGAGGGGCCCCAAAGAGAAGGGCGAAAAGGGGGTGGCGAATTGAGATCATCTCTCTGGAGTTTGGTGAGATAGCTTCAGCATGCTTCAGCGGTCCTCCCTTGGCACATCAATCTCCTGGCCACTCATCAGGCAAATAATGTGGCAACCATTGGCAACCAATCAAACTGAAACATACTCGACTCAGTTGCTTTCTCAGTGTCAATGTAGGTCAGCCTTACTCACTCAATGACTCACGTGGTTTCACCGCCTATGCCGATCACCGCCTATTTGGGCTCCTCAGCTCCATCCTTGGGCCTCAACTTGTCCTCTATTCTTCTCTTGATCTCTCCTGCAGGCGACAAAAGGCGCGCGAACCCGAACGCAGCCCACTCACCACAACGGACCACCGAGATTGATATGCGATGCGGAACCAACAACTCACAGAAGGAGACTATGGTGACATGTTGCTGGTGGCGCAATGTGCCAGCTATGTGTTCATTACAGGGGCGTGCAAATGTCTTGTGACTTGTGGGCTCACAAACCAGTGTGTCAATCCTCTGTAATTGTGCAAGGATCAAGCAAGGACCCAAATTCTTGGAGTGGAGTTCTTATCCACCCTGTCATTGAGCAATGGCAAGATCTACCTCCTCATGAGTTGGTTGTTCACATTCATAGTTGCCACCACAAAATCATATGGCCGGAAACCCTGGTTGACCTCTGAAAATTTAACAGATTCCTCTATCAGGGATGTCAACCTGCCATGGTTTGGTAGGTTTTGACTCACATATCATATGCATAATTAAGTCAAGGAACACTTCGGTCGACAGTCTCCAGTTCCCAAGGTCTACGAACTGCTCCCGTTCCCAAGGGCTGGTTGGAGGGGAGGGCGGGGCCAATTCACCACTCACCTGGTCAAAAGACCACCCCGAACTGGAACTCCTGGTTGCCGTGGTTTCAATGCGCGCGCCGTGGTTCATGGCCGAAACCAAGCTCCAACGAGTGACTTCGGCCAAGTGTCCAAAGCTAACTAGTTCAGCTGGTCCCACGCCATCATCAGTGCAGCACCTCCAAACAAAAAGCATCCGTCCGAGCAACAAACAGCAACGAAAACGGCCGTGGATTGCCAGCGATTTTCCTCTGAACCCCTCATTGGATTCCCTTTTCAATCCATCACATGGTAAGAACGGGTTCTGAGCTTCTGAGTCCCTTGCCATCGCTTCGTGGCACGTGTCGCACGTGGGTGCGGCTTGACGAAGCACTTCCATTTCAACTCTTGACTCCGAATGATCATGTCAAACTACATATGGTTCTACAATATACATACATATATCTAAATGGAGTTGTTTGTTAATCAACTTTCTATAAATATCGCATATACATCATAGACACACATTCATTACTTTGATTGTGCCAAGACTTGAGATATCTTGAGATATGTGCAGCGACGAGGTGGACCACCTCCTCGCTGCCCCGCTCCGCCTCACGGAGTTGTAGTGCTGCCCTGCGTGGTGGGTCGGATGAAACGACAGCCTCAGGGAGGCTCGAGTTGAGTTCGTGGGACCTGTGCACGCACTGAAGAGTCAATGGTTCACTGAGAGGTTTCATCTGAAACGCCGCGTTAGGTGCGCGGGTGAGGAGCGCGGATCACATCAGACTAAGTGAGTGAAAGAGTTGGCAGCCCCCAAAAAGTTACGACATATGGATCCATACTGGAATGCGTAAGGACAAGTATATAATCCCCCTATCAGCTCCCAGCTTTGACCGTTTGGAACCAAGCTGGAAGAACAAAGAATACTGCATTGCAGAATGAAAGCGAGACGTCATGGCCAAACGTTGGAGTGACCTCCCGCGGCATGGAAAGGGGATAGGTTTCCAGCCTGGGCACCCCTATACACAACTACAAGTTCTGAGTGTCTCATACGTTCTATATGGCAGCTAGGCTTGTTTTTGCTGGTTGCCACATTGTTCAGGCCAAGAAACTGCACACATCCAGCATGCTCATCAGTGGCCTGGATTTCGACTGCTGATCTAAGGATCTGGTCTGGTCGTCCAGATGCTTGCGAGGGCTGGTAGATGATCTTGGCCGGCGGAGAGAGATCAGAGGGACCACTAAGTGTCCAGACTCCAGACCACCTGATCATCAATTTACTGTTGACATCTACCTTTGACCGCTGGGGGCGCCACCTGGATCCTGTACTTGGCATCAAAAGGCTGACACGAACTTAAAAGGAGAACCCCCAAGATCTTTCTCTGGTCTGACTACGCCCAAGCCATCCAAGCCATCTGGTCTGTGGTGTAGGTGACAGAAAAAGTACGAAACGTGATTCCCTCAGGGCCACCCTCAAGTACTGAAACACCACAAAAGGATCAAGCACTCCTTCCCTAAGTGCCTCCAACTTCCATGTGACTGCTTCCTCAACCCCACTGGTGACACCTCGGTCACTTGATGAAGCGACCCACCGAGATCGAGGTCACCCGTGCCACCGGCCGCATTTCGCCGTCCCAGCGGCCGCGTTGACGCCGTTCCGCCGGGCAAGCGCCTGCACCTGGCGCCGTTCTGCGGAGGGCATCGAGGTGACATCTGGTAAAGAGGGGACACATTTTGAAGGTGAACATCAGTCTTATTAAAGAATAAAAGGGTTGAAGGAAAAGATCAGCTTATGCCCACATTGGTCCCTTAAACCAGCCCAACATGTAGCCAGATAATGGTAAATATCAGGAATCGTGATCGGTCGTGCTTGGGACCTGGGAAAGAGGACACGGGTATGTACTATGGGAGCTCCCGATCTGCAGTGGCGCCAGGTTCTGTAGTGTTGAAGATACAGTAGATGTCTGATGCCAACAGTAGCACATTGATGCACATTGAATGATCAAAGCAACTGGATTCCAATGATTTCTGTGCAGTGCGTCATCGAACATGACAACAAAAGACTCTAGAATACTGCTGCGACATCATCCATGTTCAACATGTTTAGGTTCCAAAGGTCCACTGCAGGACATGGACAATTTTTGTCATGTAGATATGAGGTAGATCACCAACTGAAATCAAAGACCAGACCGGAATCGCCTGCAAAAATCCACTTATGATCGATTCTTCCAGGCTTCCAAACAACAAACGCTGTCAAACAAACAAATCAAAAATGTCAATGATGTCATGCAAATGCAAATGAACCACATTCAGGAGCCGTCTCCTCTGGAACTCTCCGCCCTCGTTGCACACGTCAGCTCGTGCGCTCGCCCGCGCGCTCGCCCCGCGCGGGCGCGCCTCGACGTGCCCGCCCCAAGTACATCGCTGGCGCATGCGGCCTCATTCGGCCGGGAGCGGAGTGGTGCGGAGTGGTGAAGGCAGGGGACACCGAGGGATTTGTTGGGTCGGGCGTGAAAGTGGATCCGAATGGATGTCAAGGTAGGGGAAAAAGAAATTTTGCCAAAACGTTATCATAGACACCCTTGACTATAGTAAAGGTGAGACTGGATTCCTAGAAATATGCAAACATCCTGATACATTTGGGTTTTGGACATTTATGAAAGGCTGTCAGCACCATTCAGTGCTTCAAAACAGAAAGCCTATAAAATCCTGTTCGCCCATAAATCAAATCTGTGCGAAATAAGCTCAGATCTTTGTTGGATCCTCCCCTCGGAATCCCGCAGGCTCAACTCCTATTAGACTCAGTTGGACTCAGAACAGTAGAGCCCCTGTAGCAAGCCTGTAGCTTGTACATGGTCCTTTCTCACGCAACATGTTCTTCTCCCTTGAAATAGTTGCAGAATCTAGCTTCATAGGGAATGGCATTGACTTTTGCTGATGTTCTCGTATTGAGGGTCTCAAATGGCGTGTAAACATCTCGGGGAACCTTCAGGAAAAAACACACGAAGTGAGGTGTCTCATATTATGGTGAGGTAAGAGCAAGCGTATACCGACCGCAACCTAGCATAACCTGGGCCTCCAATGTATGCAAAAAGTATTGTGGTTTCGGAAGTCTTGGATGACCTAGCGTAATCTAGCGTAACCTACTATGGTGCATGCCAACCATTTAGGATCAAAGCAGCAGCTGACCCAAACAAAAGGGTATCAAACGCTCTGGGCGTCTCGAAAAGGAGGGTCTCGAATCACATTTATTGAATGCTGTTGATGTTTGGCTGCATTGCATCTTGGACAGCTTATGTGTTAAAAATCATTGACATTCTCGAATGTTAATCATTATGTCAAACATAAGAGCTTCTGGGTCACTGATCAATGTGTTTTAGAAAATTATGCAGTCCAGAACCTAAACCATTGGAGCCACCAGAAGGATTTTATACAAGAACATGTTTTTAAATGTTGTTTGTTCAATGTTGTTTTCATACAATTAAACTAATTTCCTCATGAACATCAACTGTTGGCCAGGCGCGCCTCTGCCCTATATGAGGACAGCTAGGTTTCTTATGTTGTTAACAGCGTAAATCCACCTACAGGAAAAAGAACAGCGACGGCGATATCAAACCGGTATATCATAGTGCCACGTGTACGGCAAACAGCTTTCTGTCAATAGTGTTCCCGGAGTCTGCAGGGGTTTGATATGGGTTTCATGGGTCCTGCACCGTATAGCTGTGTATCTAAGTCCCAACTGGTGAAAGTATTCCGAGTCAACTGGCGATGATCAACCCCTACCCGCAGCCCGTTGGAAAATGGCATTCCTAAGCTGCCACTCAGGCCGCTTCTCGCGTGGTTTTGGCCTTCGTGGTGTTGGTCCTGTGTAGGCCTTCGAATGTTGGACGACATTCTATCTCCCTTGCTCGCCCAAGGGAGGCGAAAATATCATATAATCTCTATTCCAGCGGGTTCTTCCCGGAAAATGTCTTTACCAATCCTATGAAAATGTCTGGCACGTGTCAGTTTTCTCAGCAATCATATTGCCAGGTTTTGCATGCCGAGCTGCTACAGTATGATTCGAACTCATCCTCAGTGGCTGCATCCAGATTCAGCCACACACAGACCAAGCAAAGTTTGGGCAGACCTAATTGGCCTCATTAATCCCTACTCAACAGGTCAAGGATCCATCAAAATCAATCCACTGTGGCTGTCTCAAGGTATTTAGCTGCCACACGGCAGTATCGCCCTAGCTGATAACTTGCTATCCCTTCGGCCCCAGCCAGAACAGCCAAACAGAGCTTAGGTTGCGGAATTCTCCCAGATTTGCCCAAGTCAAGGCCCAAAGCTACGATCTTTTTGAGCCGCTGTCCTTGGATAACTGACCTTTGAGCCCGGTTGGCCCAAGGCATCTCCTACTTGTGCGAGGGCACTTTTCGGCAGTTGTTCTGGAAGAGCGTTGTGAGAAAAAAACAAATGCATCTGATCACATCGGACATCTATCCCTGTGCGTTATGAAAACATCTAGTCTCGTCGACCCTCGACGAGCGCAATCACTTGAATCTTCAGGTTCAATTGAATGGTTTGCTAAGCAGAACAACAGCTTCTGAAATCTTCTGAATAATCCTTGAGGGTCATTTCACCTCCACTCATGCTCTGGCTCCATCCAAATTCCTGGCTCGATCCCTCATGTCAATCTGTTCAAGGTCTCCCACTCTCCCAGCCCCAAGGACTCCACGAATCGAGATCACCTTGGGTGAATCCGATGGAACTTCCCTATTGGTAGAACCTGCTGAGCTGAGCCGATGGATCTCAATGCAACAAGAAGGGGCTCGGTGACGTGTTCATGGGCTAAAGCAAGTTCCACCATTGACTGGCGCAAGCTCCAAAACTGCTTTTATGCAACTACAATTCCATGACTCACAATATGACCAGCAGAATCCATTCTTGCTTGCCTTGCAATGGCCAACGCCTAACTTCAGAACATCGAGACCTAGCCTCAGGAGTTTGTGGGCTTTGTCGCTTGACCAAGCTTTGACCTACTCCTTGAGCTCTTAATGGCGGGGCGTGTAACGTCCACCCTTCGGTTTTGGCTCAACTCTGACACCAATGTTTTTTGATTCTGGTCACAAGGAATTCCAGCTACTTGAAGAGGAAACAATTTCATCTTAAGCATTCGGCCCATGGCTGCCCCAAGAAAATGATCGAATTACTATTTTCGGAAAAGCAACCCTCAATCCCTTCTAGATATGCTTTGGGGCACACATCTGTCCTCTATCTATATATGATGATTTTTGCTGGCTCCACTATAGGACTATAAAAAATGGTGGCCTTCTTTGTGGCTCTCTCATGCTCTCTAGAAGTGAATGAACTTCGGAGATTTGCACCGCGTCAGGCAGCAGTTGATCCTCACGGGGCCGAGATGTTTTCACTGAGCGCTGAGCGCTGAAGGAGAAAGCATGAACAGCTTCCATGAACTGCAGTTCAGTGGCCCTAGAGAGTTCAACCAGTCACGACGGCCCGGGTGAGAAAATATTTACAATATGTTTAAACACTCGCCATATACAGTGACAGGTGGTAGACGGTCCGGTGAGGAGTCTGGATCTTCTGACATTGCTATCACCTGTCATGATGGGCCAATTCACATGAGCACCATCGCTGCTAAGCGCGAACAGGGCGAGCATACGGCTCACTGCCTTCAGATTGTTGGTTCCAATGCTTCTCCTCCATCTCTTCCTGCACTCAAGCCCAAATGGAGATTATTATGTCAACTACCAGCACTGCTAGATGCAGAAATTAGAGGGTTGGCCCCAAGTAGATGGAAACCGTCGCCAAAACATGTTCAAACACAATTCACTGTTAAGTTATATTTGTTTTGGGGTCACTGCTCTGCTGAATGAATATAATTACAGTATATATATATATACATACATTGTCCTCCGCAGTCATGGTTCTCTTGCCTCCGACGTGTTTCCAATCCGCCGACACCCCAACACCATCGTCTTCACCCAAGTTCGGCGGTTGAACCCAAAACTCTTCAACGATCGGCGCTACGGATCGGGCACAGGAGCAACACGTTGTCCCCTCCCTTCGTCCACGGCCAAGGGGGCCGCGCATTCGGGCCGTTCGGACGCGCGGTTCGCAGTGCGTTCTGGCACCTGATTCACGCCATGCAAGGCTTGTCTTGCCTCGGACCTGGGTGTCTGAAGACTGACATGGAAATTAGGTGAGGTTACGAAGATTAGATTGATTAGACAGGCTCACTTCGGACATCGAAATCTCTTACAATTCCTGGACGACTTGTTACCCGCAACGTGGAACTGCGGTCTGCTTGTTCGGGGTGATGCCTCAAACACTTTCACCTCATCTCCAAGATCTCAAAACTCCGACCCCCTCAACCCACATGAACCTGGGTCACTAAAACTGGATCTCCTTCCGTGGTGGTGTAGTGGTTTGGACATGCTTTGAGCCCATGTTGGCTTTTTAGGGTCCTGATGGGTCACCTTCAGCCCAGGACACGCCAGCTTCAGCCTCTTCCAATTCTCAATGGCAGCTGGTGAAGGATGTCCAGGCACCTCTGTCCAATCCGCGGCATAGACCTTCTCCGTGTCGTCCTTGGTGCTCGGCCTCGTGTGCACCGAAGCCTCTGCATCACTGAGCTCTTTCGTGAAGATCCGATGGCTCGATGTGGACGTGGACGGGACATTGGACCAATCCAGGCTGTAAATTCCCTGACACGCGAGGGGCCAGCACGTGACGTAGAGCGTTGAACATGTTTGAGCATGTGAGTTAAACCATCCTATTACTTTTTGGATTTGAAGCGGTTCTAGGGTATTGCTCCTTCTGGCTCTGGACACTCGAGGCACCAGGCATTATTTTGATTGGCCAAGTCCGCAAAACCAGCCGAAGCCTACCGAGGGCACAGAAACAGCCCAGCCTCAGTTTGCCTTGAGCGCACATCATTCAGCAGGCCTTGCATGACCATGCCGCCATCGTACAACCGCCGGACCCTCCGCCACTTCATCCGCGCAGGAGACACCGATTCGGCCTTGCCAAGGTCAATGGACTGCACAGGTGAAGGGTGGCTAGCGTTTCCAGAACGTTCCGCATTCACGTGAACAGGCTTCTACTACTGACTCAGACCCCTGATTTGATAGGAAAGGGCCAAAAAAATCAAAATAGAATAAAATAGAGGTCACTCAATTCTAGGTATGTCTGTCTTTGGTTGACTGCCTGAGCGGTCACAACTCTCATGTTCCGCTTGGGCCCTTTGACGTTGCACTTGGTTTCACCTTGTTTTGGAAGCCAGGGGCTAACAATGCTCACAATAGTCTGCACCAGGACCCATCTACGAGTGATTAAAACATGGTCTAAGCGATGCAAGGATGATGTAAGAAAGACCCAGGCTTGCCCCCAAACATCCCCAGTTCGCTGCTTGGTTCTGTTTCGCTCGCCCACCCCAGGGGCCACAAAGCACTGGCTGACACCCCCGCGTCCCGCGGGAAACCCGCCGGAAACCGCCGGGAAACCGCGGGAAACCCGCACCTTGTCTCGATTCCTCCTCCCATCCTCCAACAGCGTGCTGGCGGTGAGTGTCAAGCTCCGTGCTCGAGGGCCCGTCCTGGCCGTGGCCTGGCGCGCGGCGCCGGACCTTGGGACCTTCTTGGATCGAAGTTGGAAGGTTCGGACAGCTCCGGGGGCGGGGAGAACCCAGGGGGGAACGGATGATGGCGACCAGCGACTCTGAGGCTTAGCCCGGACGCTTCGAAGCTGCTTAGCTCTAACAAGCTCCTTCGGGTCACAAGATGCTAAAGACTATATAGTTATGTAACTAAGTTATGTATGTTATACAGAAGTTATACATGGTAGTGCTTCAGGAGGGCATCAGGAGATTCGTGCCGGGATGATTGACATGCTGAAGGATCATGATGGTTTCATCTAGAAGTGATTCCCGTTGGCGGCATTTCGGAGGGGTCTATACATGTCCTTGAGTCCTTGCTGGCATTAAAAAGCACCCGTTTGCCCGATGCTGCTGCACATCTAGAGGGTCCAGAACTTCCCACAACCTAGTCCAAAAGGTCTTCCCCACCCACTGAGATTGGAAAGCGGCCGTCTTTGGAAGCAAACCATCGTCTTAGAGCCGAATCAATTACAAGACTGCTTTTCGATCCCCTCAAGTCATGCAAAACGCCCTTGCCCTATGTGGCGCCTGCGGCTCACGGCCCCGGGTTTCAGTCTCGAGGTCATCGGTCTGGCTGCCCTTGGAGTTGCTGAGGGCCCGGTGCCAGGCCTTTCCGGCGTTGGGAGTCACTAGGCACGGCCAGAGAAAAGCCTTTCCAGACTGTGGGGCACCAAGGACAAGGACAAAGCCAAATGCTCCAGGGTGGTTTCAGGGGACCAGGTATGGATCTAGTCATCTAGGGCAACAAGTGAATCTTTTTCGACGCGGACAAGTCTAGTGGGCCCACAGAACTTGCATAACCTTTGCCGTTCGTTCCTACTAAGCTCTTGCTCATGGCGGTCTTTGTGAGACAAAACCTTTCTCTAGCACACTGCCTCCGCCACCGGCATGCGCAGGTCCTCCGGATGGCCACCTACAGGGCGGTGGAGTCCAAGCGGAACACCATGGGTGTCCCAAGAGGTCAGTGAAGTGGAATCCGCAACACTGCGACCTACCTGATACCCCGAAAATAGGAGATGCCGCCCCAGCCCCTGAAACCGTTCACCTTAATCTATCGCAAAGATTCCAGTCCCATGGAGTGTCTGGGTATGATTGCCTCCTGCTTTACACTCGAAGCCGTCGCGAGAGTCGTGGCGCCCTCACGGGCCCGTTGAGGGCCCTTCTGTTTTCGAAGGCTCAACGGAATCGACATGTCCATCATCTGTGTGCATGCAGCGAGGGGGTGGGAGCAAGCGGCAATGAGGATCCATATTGATCTTTTTTTGCAGATGTACGATCTATCTAAGCACTAGATAATGATTTTCTAATCAAATTTGGAAGCTAACCTAGCTTATCCTCTAGTTGACCGACTGTTAGGAACTAAGACATATAGCACCCGGGGTGCTTCCCAGGTTTTAGGATACACAAAAGTTGACTGGCGTGGAGCACCTTCCTCAACGACTCCTCACACTGTTTCATCGATTGAGGGGCACCTTGAAGTCTCAAATAAAAAGAATCACCCAAAGAATCACCAACAAACCAACATAAACTACTTTTTGGGGGGATATGTGTTTCATTCGTCTTTGATTGATGTGTTGAAAGACGATCTATCATTTGATGCTCGTGTCACACCCAGTCTCGGGCACTGTCTCACATGCTTGGCCCGAAAACGGCCAGCGGAAGACCAACAGCCTATCCTATTACGTACTAGTAACAGTGGATGATGATGGTTAGTAAAGGACTTTCTCTAAAATAGTGATACAGTAATTGTTACAAATAATAGGGCGAACCCAGGTTACAATCATTCCAGGCTTCACGAGCCCCCACCACTGGCTCTTGACATAGCATCTAGACTCAGGAGTCTCAAGATCTCTTCATCTAAGCAAGATCACCTAACATCACATTATAGGGAATCACACTTTGATGGCATCCCGCCTCTGGCACAGATTCATGGAATATCAAAGGTGTTTTGCGAGTGCCATCAGGGTGTGTTATTCCCTCGTCACGGCACTCGTCTCATGACGACCTCGTCTCGTGTTTCGCACGTCTCGCCGCTGTCAAACACCACGGGCTCCGGTTTCTGGCCCAGCCACGCATGGGTCCGGTCATCCACATTCATCCAGCCATCCGCTCCGGCGCGCGCAGACGCGCGGTGCGCGAGGTCGCCGCGCCTTCGGGACTGCCCCACCATTCATCAAGGCCAGGACATGGAGCGAGCACCTGGGGAGGCACAGAGCACCGATGGACGTGCTGAAGAACTCACTGGAGACCCTATGAGACTATAGCTAGCTCTCAGAACACTTGGAAGAGGGTAAATTGATGTAAATTAGTGAAGGGCCCGCGAAGGGCTCAGGATAACATTCCATGTTGGAAGGTGCACAGCAAAACGGAGACATTCCAACACCAACACCCCAGGCCATGCAGAGTTGTGTCACCATTCTGTTCGCTTGCGGTCCCTGGTCAGTCTGGGTTTGCAAGATCCGGAGTGAGATCATGAGATCACTCTCATTCATAGAATTTTGGTTTGAAGATAAAATGTTTAAAGCATTCTGAAGCGGTTTGGTACTTCAACACAATTTCAACGAATATCGTCTGACTTCTTCTTGGCTGACCCTTTGGAGAATGTGACGTCCCATTTAGGGCCTTATACAAGAAGTCAACTTCTGGCTTGCTGAGCTGGGTTATGTGCGCATGTTGCCTCTTGTTGCTCGGACACCAGGAGGCAACACGGACAAAGTATGGGAGAACTTGCTTAAGGCTTAAATGCCATCAACCAACAGCTGGTGAGCAACATCTCAACCGCCCTTTCCGACATGCATACGAGATTCGGATTCTCTTTCCCGGCAGCAGCAGCATTGCACTTGCCCCATGCTGCAATGAAAATGGCAAGGCTTTCTACAAACATATCTTGAGCCCGAAGCACCATCGAAGTGCATCAATTCCACAAACGTCACGCAACATGCCACACTCTTCGCAAACAAAGCCCACAATCCCACAGGGAGAAACGTTCTTTTCCCCCAATCGACTCACGATATCTCACATCCAAAAGCTTCAGACGCCTACGCCTGCGCGAACAAGTCTCACCTTGCCCAACCGTTGCCAGGGCTCGTCGATGAAGGGTTCGAAATCTCCTCTGTGTTGGACCATGAAGTCGACACACTCCTCCCTCATGCGAGCCTCATCGACTGCGAAGCTGAAACATGAGACTACGGCTGACTACGCTGAATGTGATTTCTCTCTCTCTCTCTGATAGGTTTTCAGGAAAATTATGGAAAATTGCGGATTCTAGGTGGTATCGTTCATGCTGTATCCGTAAGCCTCCAACAGGGTACTTTGATGGATTTCAGTCAGAAGAGCCGGACACAGGGCATATGGATAACTCTGTGGCACATTGAGTTCGACTGGCACGCACACTTCCGGCAACAAACAGCAAGGCAATGGAAACAGGAAAACCTGTAAGACGGATTTAAGATTCTGACCGAGAAGCCATGCGTTTTGCTAGAAACATCTATGCAATTCGAAGCCTATCTTGGGCCACCATACCATGATCTCAACGTCAACCAGCTCCTTCGCCGCATGTTCTTCGTTTCCAAGGTGCATGGGCATCTGGCTCATCGGCGGTCAGCTGGTCCGCGAACCTCGTGTTGGACCGGAGGGTGGTCCCGAATCCAGGCCGCGCCAGGATGGATATCTGCTCGAGAAATGCCATATGAGGGACAATCCGTCTCAGTCCCTCTTGCAAAGATCAATGCCAAACAAAGCTTCATTATTTGTTTTGTTTTGAGGTTGCAGCAGCATCGAACAATCCGGTAACCTCTGTTCGTGTCCAGTGAGCGGAAGCAGTAGCAATGCTGGGGACCCCCAACGCTCTAAAAAGGCAAGCACCATCTCCTTCCACCTCCTTGACCCTCAAGCCGCAGCTTTTGAGGAGGTCTTGGTCCTGAAGCCGAAGGGCCCGTCGTCGTTGTTCCCCGAAAAAAGCTGCAGGTTTGTTGGGCCCTGTTCGCACAGATCGGGCCAAAAGACTTGAAGGATCTGAAAGGTGATCCATTGGGTAACAAGAAGCCACGAACGGGGCTCCTGGCATCGCTACTAGTAGTAAGGACGCTGCTAGGGGCTCTTGGCCTTACTACTAGGAGCAAGAGGACGCTACGAACGGAACAAGGGTTATTTACTGGTGGCAAGTGACTGAGGAGTTAGGGCTGCTAGTGTTATAGGAGTTATGCTAGGGTAACTCCTCAGTCACTGTCTGGCGGTATAAGCAACAATCACTTCCCCCGTCCCGTCGCCCAACCTTCACAGCACGGTCCGGTCCTTCTTCAATTCGCGCGCCCAACCCTCAGTGCTGGAGGTTGGGGCTGTGAAAGCGCCTCGGCGATGAGACATATGAAAGGACAGAAGGCTGAGGACGGGTGACAAACCGGTGACTAAAACCCTTCCAAATGCCAAGCAGGAAAAGGCATTTCCTGAAGATAGGTGTCACAGGCCCATTTTTCAAACTGGTGTTCATGCAGGAACCGCTGCCAGCAAAATTGAGTTTCTAGCACAAGCAAAGGTATGAAGAAAACAACATTCTGGACAAGTCGACGGTGCAGGTGTCCATGGAGTCCATGACGCCGGTTCAATCAACGAATCGCACAGCGGAAAAACCGTGGTGTTTGAGAACCCACAGTCAACAGCACTGTGCTTGAGGGTCAAAGAACCAATGGGATGAGAACTCATGGCCCCGCTGCATCAGAATAATACGACCAGGTCCTTTCTGCAAAGAAGTGTTTTGAGGAATCTTGGGTGAGGGAAAAGTCCATCGAAACTCACATGAATATCATCAATGCTCTTTGGCTTAGGTGTCACATCAATCCTGTTCACTCTCCAAAGGCATTGGCGGGCAAACATGAGGCACTTGGTTATGGAGTTCGGGGCCACCAAATCACAAACCAGAATGCGTTGGTCCATCCTTCCTCACCAATGAGGAGTCCCAATCGATATCAATACACGCAGATCGACGCATGATGCGATGGTGAAGCGATCTCACGGAACGCCCGGTGCCCTGAAACAAAGAAAAACAAATTGATACCAGGGTCAAACATACATGTGGATTTTTGATACCAGGGTCAAACATACATGTGGATTTATGCTACCCACTTCTCAAGGCGTCGAGTTGGCCCCAGTTGGCCCATGGTGGTTGTTATGTTGTTAGCTAGTTTCCGGTCTCAGTTGATAGAGTCAATGAATGCTAATAAATAGCAATAAACATAACATATAGCATGCGTACTAGTATTACAACAATATTGAAAATACACACACATATTATATATGTATATGTATAATGCAATACAATAGTAAAATATAGTAACATAGATTGTAATATAAAAATATACTGTAGTTAGTCTGCCGTCTCAGCCAGAAATGCATGTCCGCAAGTCCTTCCTGGCCAAGCCACTTCCCCCGGCAGGCCTGCACTGAAAGAACCAGGACCAACAATTAACCTCAACCATCCCCACATGAGAATCCTTAGTGGTAACCTCAACATGTATTAGATTCTTAGATATGTAAGTAAAGAAAATATAAAATACCTGGAGGTAGCTAGACTCCCCGACTAAAACGTTGGGTTGGAGAGGGAACGCCGCCTTTCCCTGTCAAACAACGGTCACATGGGTTCTAGGCATGGGGCACAGCCTTGGTCACCGAAAACTGAAAACCGATCGACATCCGATCCTGCAATGGCATGGTGCATCCTTGTTGTTCAATTAATCAAGCCACTGCTAGCGACCAAGTGGGGAACGTGAATGTAACCTTGTATAGCGGCCCCCCCCCATAGAAACTAGAAGCTGCTTAGAGGATGCACTTGTCATTCATGAGTCTATCCACAATGGGCCGCAGTGGAACACGGGTTCTTGAGCTGCCGATCTCGTCAAAACCTCCCCGAGCGTTGGGGTCGTTTTTAGGAGTGTTTGGCAATGACGATAGTACCACCCCTCCCCAAGATCTACCATTTTGGGTGTTAAGCTCAGGGATGCAGAGGTTACACGCAAAAAAACATCTATTATCTGTTCTACGCATGCACCTGAAGACACTCACAACACGTTTAGGGACAAACATGCGTGCAAAAAATGGGGTTCCAAAAATGATCATGACATCTTGAATCTTGGATCCACCTTACGGGATTGGCACCCTCTTGAAGTCCAAGTACTTACTGCATTTCTTGCTCAGGTCCATTCCAAACGTGGAGACTGGAACGTCGTGTGCAATCTGCAAATTGCGTCTGCAGGATCTTCTGCTCCTATCTTCCTTTCATGACAAATACCAACAATGCCAATATAAGATCTGAAAATGCCTGTGTTAGCTGCTTGAATGCTGCATCGCATCTTCTGCTCCCATGTGCTTTCCTACACCAAAATTGTGAATGCAACATCTGGACACATCATCTCACCAGTGTGTGTGTGTGTGTGCGTGTGTCTTAGTTGCTTGTATGTGCACGCGGCTTAGCCCAAAAATGGTAGATCATCTTTTGGGGGGTAGCACACATAAATATATACAGTTTATTAAACATATACACATACATACGTATATAAACGATGATCATGTGACTTTGGGTTTAAAGTTTCAATGTCTTCTTTCCAGCCCTGGAGCGAGCCCCTACCAAAAGCGCATCGAACGGGTCGGTGGCCGGGTCCGACCCGTGGCCTCAGGGCCATGGCGGGTCCCTTGGTCACGACCGGCGTCTTCCAGGGCGGCGCATTGAAGTTCACGGGCCTTGGAACGCGTGGAACGCCGTTGGACGCGCGGAACGCCGCCGTGAAGGCGTTGGAACATGGCACGTGTGGCGTGTTTGGGGGGGGGACCTCTTGGAAAAGCATGGGGCTTCTTGAAGACCAAGACCAATCACCAAGTGGTGACATGTGAGCTCCACTTGAAGGCCTGACTCGATTTGTTTCACCAAAGCCAGGTCTCCCTGCTGGTTCAATCTTAGCATCTCAGCTGTGGCGCCCCACTGTGGGTAGCAAATGGTACCAGTTCGTGTTACCAGACTGTGGGTAGCAAACCCATCAGGGCTTGTCTCAGTGGGCAGCCCTGGCACGCTGAGCAATTGCCTAGACATGCCTGGACGATGACCTGTCCGGTCCAAAACGGGCCAAGGGGACCGAAGATTTCAGCCCTGGAAGCTGCACCAATGCTGCCATGAGTCTTCACCTTCTTCTTGGCTTTGCCTGCCAATCAATGAAAAGCAAAACAAGGCCAACACGACCATTCGAACCTTGACCGACGATTAAGCCCCACCCTTGCTCCATGTCTGCCGAAAAGTTGCACGAAGGAGCTCTGCCCTCTGCCCCTATCAATGACCAACTCAAGAGAGCAGCTACAACTGCCAGTGCCAACCCTGCAGGCAACTCATCAGAGCTCAACTTTCAGGGTTTGCAAGATGACGTTCTCCTCTTTCATCCAGTCCATCCATGCAGGTCTCTTAGATTACACCAAGGCAATCGCTGTCTCTGGTCCTAAGATTTGGGATGTACCTGCCACTGTATCGATATGATGCCTCTCAACACCCCAACCTTATCATCGCCGGACCCAGGCTAACTTTGTGAATCTTGAAAATAACAAAAAATAGAAAGCGACAAAAAGCAACTACAAAAAGCAAAGCAAAAAGAGGCAAATCCAAAAAGCAAAATAATGCAAATTTCAAGAGGAAAAAATAGAAAAACAGCAAATCCAAAAAGCAAAAAGAAAGCAAATTAAATAGCAAAAGCAAAAATAAACACATCCAAAACACAAAAACAATGCAAATGAAAAAGCAAAAAATACGCAAATGAAAAAGCGAAAGCAATTCCTTATTATTTCCTTTTGTGTTGTTTTTGGGCGTTGTTGCTTGCCCACATGTTTGTGCATGTGTTTTCTGTTTTAATGTTTTGGTTTTGTTTCATTTTTTTGCTTTTTGTTTCGCATTTTTTGCTTTTTGCTTTTTTGTTTGCTTCTTTGGATTTGCTTTTGTTTTGCTGTTTCATGTGCTTTTTTTCTTTTTGGATTTGCTTGTTGTTTTTGCTTGTGCTTTTTCATTTGTGTTGTTTCTTTTTGGATTTGCTGTTTTTTTGTTTTTTTTGCTTTTGCTTTTTGCAATTGCCTTTTTTAATTACTGTACTGTTTGGAAAAACCATCAGAGATAGCCCAAGTGGTTTTCTTAACCCCAACCCATTCCAACATATTCTTTCCCCCGCACCTTTAAAGAGCGCATCCAGCGAGGATGGGGCGCCACTGTATCCGCCGTCGTTCATCCGTCGCCTGCCAAAGGGAGGAGGGGCTTGGAAGGTTGAACTCGCTGAAGTCAGTGTCAGCACTTCTAGGTTCTTGTGCAAGTGCATGTGTTGGGTATACCGGTATACCGCATTCCCCGCAACAAAGGAACCCTGACTGATGGTTCAGTTGCAGTTGACCCCTCCCTTCAGCCGTCGCCGGACCATTTGAACCATCCCGGCGGTTTGGACCGTCTGACGCCCGACCCAGCAGGGCTGGATGGATCTAACAAGTCTGACAAGTCCCCAGCAAGGGGGGCCGGAACTGAATAGACTGAATTGGACGGAGTTTGACCAACTCAATTCACATGGAGAATCAACCTGGCCAATTCCAAGTCTCATCTTCCTGGCAGGTCTTACACATACGTACAACGCGGTGGCTTCTGGTTGAAAACTGCTGAATAGCAACATCAGCGTTCAGCATTTTCCGGCCTCAAGCGTCTTAGAAGCCAGGAGCAGCTGAGCACTTCGGAGAATGCTCTGAGATCAAACGTGGGCTGCGGGGCAGGCGTGCTCATGTAGACAGGGCAGGCGTCCTCATGGACAGGGCGATTTCGTGGCCACCCGGATCGGCGCAACATCTGAGCAACACACTTGAGCACCCAACAAGGGCTATGTTGGCACCTCTGTTACTCTGCTAGGGGCTGTCCACATCTGCGAACATGAACACCAAGGCTCAGGTCTTCAAATCGTCAGGTGCGAGGGACACTGTTCGCTGCATGGGCCCAAAACACTTGGTCCCTGGTGTGTCTCCCCAAGTCGCGTCTGATTTCCATGCTGTCCTTGGCCAAGGGACCATGGAACCCCCCAAACGCCCAAAACAATTACACAAAAACACAATGTGACATGTCAACTGTCCACTGCAGTCTGATTTCCATCCGGCTGCTTCATCACCATCGAGCCTCTTACGCGGACCAAGAGTGTAGATTCCATGACTCAGGGTCCCTGCGCATGGAGGACAAAGCCTTGGCCAGAACCTGTTGCACAGAAGAATGGTTGAATCGACCACCCCCAATCAGGTGAAACGAGGGTGAGTGAATCAAGGGTATATGCATTATCTAGACAACGTACAATAGCCACGAAGCCGCCACACTTCATGCTGTTCACTCTTGTCCACACGCTTGCCATAGCTGAAAGGAATCTACAACTACTGTTAAAACTATTGTTCTTTCACAGGTCGCAAGCCATCTGTAGGGTGTGACGTGCCTTCAAATCCATTTTCAAGTGACCCATCATGAAAACCATCCTAAGTTTGTACTCAAGATTCATTCGCACAGCCCAGCTCAAAATTGCTCAGCCAGTGTATGGACAATTGTTTTCTTTGAGAGAGAAAGCCATCACTCTTGATCACATTGCAGCAAATCAACCATCCATCATCCGCACCTTTGTTCGGCAGGAGCTCTTGCACCTCATGATCACACCATGCTGCATGACTTTCGTCCTAGCATCGAACATCTGTTCAGCGATCTCCTAGGGATCTGTTCTGAAGATCCAACGGATAGACTCTTGAAACATAGTTACTCTAATCTGTATACCAGGATTGAATCCTTCGGAAATTGAGTCCTTTCATCCAAAATCATCCAAATTCACGGGATCCCTGCAGCTCTGGTCGGGCCTTTGCGTCTGCAGGCTTAAAGAGCACGCAGCCAATGACATGACATCCGTCATCCCAACATCTACCAACTACCATTTAACCCGTTCAAACTCGCTATGCAACAAGGACAGCGGCGGAAAAGCACGTCTGAACACTTCAGCATCAGCAGCATCAAGCAGAAGGAAGGAAGGATGGACGGAAGGAAGGAAGCAAGGCAGCAAGGAAGCAAGGGAAGCAAGGAAGGAAGCAAGCAAGCAGAAGCAGAAGCAGAAGCAGAAGCAAAAGCAGAAGCAAGCAAAAGCAAAAGCAAGCAGAAGCAAGCAAGCAGCAGCAAGAAGCATCAGCAGCAGCAGCAGCAGTAACCACAGCAGCCTGGACATGTGATGGAATGGTTTTCTTGCAGGTCCGAACTTTCGGAAGCAAAACATCGCGCCTTGTTCGAGCCCGCCGGGTGACTGGACACTGAGGCACCCAGCCCAAATCTCGCTGGGCCGAGCAGCGTCCACCACCTGGGAGTTTCTCTCTCGGCCGAGGTGGAGTCCATCAAGGGGAGGTCCATCAGACTCACATGGAGACTGACTGACTCACACTTGTTGTCTGCTCTCTTCGGACAACCGGATGACGAGTCTAGATGAGTCCGTCTTTTCTGAAAATTGCCCTCTACCTTAAATAAGAATCCACTCAACCGAGTCAACCGGCCATAATCATCCTCGAGCAAAATAAATATATGGGGCCCATATGGGGCATTCCTGGTAGAATTCCTTTTCACAAACTTGGATGGACCCAGCTTGCAAATACACTATGACATTCCCATTATTCCCATTATCATCACGCAAAAACTCCATGCATATGGAATAACATGTTATAAATACATATCATATAGTTATATATATGTGTGTGTGTATACAGTATACAGTACTTGTTTAATGCCGACCCCATTTCAACCACCCAGATGGATGTCGGCAAATACAGTCTTCCAGGCCGTGTCGGTCATCGAACTTCGCGTCTTTCCACTCTCAGGTCGCCCGGCCGCCAGAAGGTCCGCACGCAACGCCACGGCCGCGAGATGCGAGACATTCCGCCTCGGTGTGCGTGCGCGCGCGCGCGCGTGTGTGTGTGCGCGCAGGAGACATTCAGAGGAAGTAGGCAGTCAACATGTCAAGCAAGTGTCAGACTGTGCGGAAGACTCAGATCTTTTCAGGATATCTCCAGCTTTTGTGTGGTTTAACCTTCCCAAGATCGGAGCAGTGGTACTGGCCATCGTTCTAAGCGAAGACCTGAACGGTGGGGGAAAAGGCCGGTGCACAGAAGACATGATCATACATGATCCCAAGGATCCAAAGGAACACCTTAATATTCTCTATCATCATTTACAGCAAGTAATATCATGTAATATCTGTGAGGTGTGATACTCAAAGCCCTGTAGGACCTATAGGTCTAGGGTGCTCCAGCTGTAAAAGATTCGAATTCTCTTGCGGATGATTGAGAGCCCTCAAGCCGTCGAAAACCAGTGCCTGGTGGGAGCGCCCCTGGCACCTTAGCCGTCTCTCGAAGAATCGGTACACAGCAACACGCTCCACTTGATGGAGCCAACACGCTTTCGCTCGGCCTGAGGTTTTGTGCAAATGCTTCTGTTTGGCCAAGGCGAAGCAAACATGTTGAAACATGGAAGACAGCGCACGCACAAAGCGCACGCCAAACTCGCAAACCACGCATATCATCCAACAACCAACTAGAACAGGAAACCACCAGGTGACGGAAATCCACTGCCTTCACCAAGGTCCCCGGCTGCGCCAGCGGCTGCGCTTCTGCGGGATCCTGCGGAGCTTTAAGGTGATGAAGGGCACGTCCGGCATCGCCAAATGGAATGGATCCATTTGATCCAGTACATGAGTGAACGGAGGAGAGACCTTCTTTATGCAGTCCACTGGATGGGTTCGAACAATTCCAAAAGGCAGGGTTGTGCCCTTGAATCAAAATCATAGCATGACTCAGCTGCAAGGACACCCAGTGGCTGCACTTCATCTGTAATCTGCTTGCGAGTATTTCCTTGCTTTGGCTGCCGGCACCCTCAAGCCTCCTGTGATGTCCCATGCGCCACTCATTCCCTGGCCTGAGACAGGGACATGTTGATGGGAAAGGGGCCCCATCTGGCCATCAAACTGCTGAATCCTGCAGAGATGAATGCCGCTGCCAAGGAATAATTTCCATAAAAAAAATTACGCCAAATCTCATATCCCCCGTTATCCCCCTACAATTTCTTCCGAGAGGGGAGGGTTGCAGGATGCAACCATCCAGACTGGGATGGAATGTTTGGTCCGACAGCCGGCAGCGATCGGTTTCAAGGTTATGGAGTGCTTCCGTTAGCGTGACAGACTGACAGAAGCACAAAGCTTACGTCCAAAAAGTCATGAAAACACGTCTGTTCGCTCAGGTGTTCGCTCAGGTGCCATCATCGACTTGGGTGTTCAGCAGGAGGGAGAAGAAAAAGAAGGTCGGAGTTTTTCTTCCAGAAGCTGCAAAAGCTTAAAACCAAGGGCCAGTTGGCCCCGCATTGCCTTGCAGATCCTATCCTATCAACTGTACGTGGACGGGCCTCGCATATTCAAAAACACTTCCCGAGATACAGGGAATGTTGGACCAGCAAATGCAAAATGGAATCACAATGAATCACATCTTTCTGCGGTTGTGCAGGATGGTGCGATCTACAACAGCATGTGAATACCGATGGCCTGGCCTTTCCATTCATTTTAGATGGGCTCTTGCCTCAGGCAAGGCCGATAGATCATGATAGATCTACATGGTAGCAAAAGCAGCCGCTGAGACTCAAGCTCGCGAAAATCCAAAAGCCCATAAAAAGCGGATCATCTCAGCTCAACAAGCGTAGGCACAAACTCTGGGAAGCTTGGCAAAATGATTCCGCGACATATTATTCTAATGATTTCAGTCGCTCAGCTTGGGTTTGTTGAACTGAGGGCGTTTGAGCTACTATTGGAGAGGCAAGACGCTCAAGCGAAAAAATCTAGAGGCCGGCTAGCCCCTGGAAAGGAGCTAAAAGCTGGCCATGAGCCAAGTTGTCCAATGCTGACCCTCAGAGAAACCCAATAGCTGGCAGCAAGTTCACACTCTCATGTGTCATCTCGTAGATGCCCTCGCAGGAACTTGGAAACTCCAAGAATGCTCGATCATGTGGATTTCACATGGTGATCACAGAAAGCACAGAAACCGTGCGGACTTCACACGGTCGATGTTCGGACTGACGGCTCCTCCAGGAAAAGCGGTCCAAAGGGCAGAATGCATAGTGTGGTCAGCACCGTGCGCAGCACTGCTGGTGCCGCGAGCTGGCCCAGGCGAGTCTTCCCCAGCAAGACCTGTCAGGTCGTTAAGGCACTTCACCAGGCACATCTTTCATGCCATGAGGATGGGCATGGGTGAGACGCGGACGGGCATCATCATGCCTTCGGTTCTTGTGATCCACATCATGCTGGCTTTGAACACCTGTTTGGGACTTGTGCGCCAACATCAACTGGCATTCACTGAACGCGCCTCAAACGCGGTGGACAGGTATTGCACCAAGAAGAAGCTCAAAACCTTCCAGGCAGCTTCTCGCTCACGCGTGTGACACAGCTTATGGTCTCCTATGACTATGCATGTAATTCATGCATGCTCACTTATATACAACATCTCACAAACATAAATAAATCACATTCATGATACTACGTTGCTACATGCATCACTCCCCACCTGCAAAGATCAAGAACACAATTGCTAAACTGATGTTTCTTAAACCAATCCCGATCTACCCCTGGTCACTCCGCAAGAGGTGGATTTGTTGGGTCGTGATGGATCTGATGAGGCCCCACATGCCTTGGGAAAATGTGGGGCCCTAGTTAGAAACAATTTCCCCGTGGCAGGGACGAGAACATTGATCAAACATGATCAACCTCTGCCTGCCTCCGTGGAACATTCGGAACATGAGGCCCAGTACGCTCCGACTCACCGTGAAAAAGGACACTCTCGTCGATGAGCCCGAAGACTCACCGACGAGAGTGCTGATCGCTTCTTTTTCCAAGGTTGAGCGGGTTGGGAGGTGACTCAAGTGAACGCCATCCACTCAGATGAGGGAACAGCAGCCCATCTCGGCTTCAATCCTTGATATAGCATTCAAACACCACGTTCAAGCTTCTTCCCGGCAGTGGGCAAGCCTTCATAGAAAACATACGGCCTTCTTCATCCTTCTACCTCCAACACCTGCACCACAAAGACATACAAAGACCACTTCAAAACCCAGCACCCGGGCCTTGCCCGCCACGTAGCGGCTGCTCTCCGGACGTGCCACGTGCAAGGTGAGCCACATGTACTCGTGAAACAGCCCGGACCTCCGAGACGTCGAAAAGGGGCGATAGGAAGGCCGACGTACCCGGAACAGGTCGGGGAAGTGCCATTTGACTTGGTCCAAAACAAATTAACAGGAGCGGGATTGAAGGAATTTTGTGGAAGGCCTCGACAAGAAAGGGTCCCGCCAAATCTTCTCTTGAGGAAGGATGTTCTCATGATTCTTAATCCGTCATCGGCAGCCCAGGATCTCATCCCAAATGAGCGCTTGGATGATCTTGGATGTCAGGAGCAATTGTTGAGGTGGCACCCAATTACAACAGGACCCATGGAAGGGACCTTCTGATCCTTCTCCAAACCAGCGTTGATACTGGAAATTCCAAAGGATTCCACTGCTTCATCACATCTCACTCTCACATGGGCCATGGATGGCCATTGGCCTCTTTTCACCCCGTTCCCGGGCCGATCGCCGATCTCTCACGACCCGAGGTGCATCGCAAAGGACAAAAGCCCGGCCAAGTTCTTCCTCATGGGTCCTGAAAAGGTTTGCGGGCGCCTGGGACTCCTAGAGCAGCCCAAAACCGAGTGAAACCAATGGACCACCCTGAGCCCACCTGGGCGGAGCTAAACCGACCTGCCAGAATCCGGCGAAAGGTCTTATTGCTGCATATTGTTGCCAACATGCAAGGCCACACGGCAAACCACCGAACACCGCCCCCGGTCAACAAACAAACCTTTACCAAATCCACAAACGTCTAGCCCAAAGGGACCCAGTTATTGTACATTCTCTCTCGCTCTCGCTCTCTCTCTCTCTCTCTACAGAGTCTGACTGAAGCTCCACCCCCCCCCCCCAGGCACACTCCGACGGTGAAAAGGGCAAGGGCCATTCTTTGCTGCCGGTCGCGCCTTTCTCGCGCGCGACCAGGTCCTGCATTTTGGAATGGCATGAAGAAGCAGCGCTTCATTAAGCCGTGGATAATCAAGTTCCAGCGTCGGCCCCAGAAGTCCCGGATCGAGGTGGACTGGGACAGCGGCGCTCGCATGGTGACCTGCACGGTGGAGCGAGGACAACAGTGGAAGCCCCTACCGCTAGCTTTGGGTTTAAAATGCCTTAGAGTGTGCATTTGCATAAAGAATATAAAATATGTCAATTCTGCTAGGAAGTAAATTAGTAATAGTTATTTTGGTTGAGGGAGAATAGCATATAATAGCGGTATACAGTATGTTTAAGGTTTACAGTAGTTTGTTCGTCAGGTACCTTTTTCTCGTTTTGAGTCTTTTTGGGCACCCCTGACCTGCGTGTCCAGGCCCCAAAGGGCTGCGGTAATCATGCGGTGGTTGAGCATGGGCAAGGCAAGCATACAGTAGACCCAAACTGTGTGCAGGTACAGGGCTGGAATGGACCAGGGAAGTCCAAATCTGGGCAGGGCAGCTGGAGGCTCATCTAAGAATGGCTTGTAGTCTGTGGCTTTGCCAAAGCTAAGAGCTGCCAGCATGATGACTGCATGGATTGCCAGCCGCCAAGCGAAGTCTAACACGATCCGCCAGCGCTTCTTATTGATACGCTTCAACTTTCCGTCTTCAAATTGGACTTCCACGGGAATGCCTCGAACAGTCCGTCGGTCGAAGGGGCCGTCGGACAGTCGAGTCAGGTCGAGTCCAAACTTTCAAGGCGTCGGAATGTCCTTGTTGTCGTTGGGGACTCCATCCAAACACCGAAAAAGCAGTTGTGTTACGTTGTGTTACCGACTAGGGGCATGTCACGAACAAACAAATGCGTACATACACGTACACTAACTCTGAGCTCTCACTTGCCTCAGGCCACTGACCTCATCTTGGTTCACATCTCACTCACACCAAGCCGCCCATATAGGTGGCGAAGGTCCAAGCTGTGGCATCAAATCCCTTGGGCCCCAGCCCCGCCACCAACCTCGGGCTGCTGAAGGTAGAGGTCATCCCGACCGGAGATTCGGCGTCCCAACGGATTCCCTGCTCCATGTTTGATGTTGTTTGTGTGTTGGTGTGGTTGTGTGTCTGATTGTGTGTGTGTATGCAGGTGTGCAGGTGTAGTGTGTGTTTGTGTGTCTCCACTGCTGGTGGAAAATAGATGAACGAGCACCCCAATACAACCCATGTGTGGCATCAAACAGAACGTGCAAGTCTCCAAATTTCTCCAAGAACTCCTGATGAGTTTAGGGATTTTCCAGTCTCCATGGGTTTCATCTGATGCTTTCTTTGATCCTTAATTCTGAAACCTGGGAACGACGTGTAGAAACCAATCCCATACTTAGGGCTACTGTATCTTTACAATAATTAAGTAGCAGCCCCAATTAAATAGGTCGAACTATAGAACAGCATCCAGTATCCAACAAATTGGATAGAGAGGACTCTTGCCTCAATCAATTCTCTCTCTCTCTCTCTCCCTGGCAGCCCTGGCATGCCTCACCGTCTTTGCGGCTTCCCGCACGCCACGCTTTTTGGCGCCCAGTGGCTCCAACCAGCGGAAGGTGGAGATCACCCCGGAATAGGAGAGCACGAAATGCCCGAGCAAAGACCTCCCCACGGCGACGATGGAGCGCGGAATGTGGATGACTGAGGGAAAGAACAGTTGTCCTGCAGGCCATGCAGAACCTGCTTCAGAACCTGCTGAGTGGAGCCAAGTGGAGCCCTTTCTTGCATGGCATGTAATGCTGCCAATAGCATGTCATCATGTCGGAGGACCGAAACTGTCCATTTCGGCCTCCGACCTTGGAAGAACATGTCGGCCAAGCTAGGGAGCTCCATAGAGAGCTTCGGTTTCACTCGTCACATCTCTTCACAATCGAACCATGGACCTTAAAGACCCAAAAATTGCAGAACACCCAGACACTCCATGTATCCCATATATGCCTACATTGACCCCCCTGGCACCACCCCAACTGATCGGCATCTACGGCAGTCCCATCGAGCATCTGGGACAGTTTGTTCATGTTTATTCAAGGCACTGGGTCGGTTTGAAAACGGACCGTGCCACATGGACAGGTAGGGGCCCTTGGGCCCCGCCATCGCAGGGTTTGCTCTATCCGGGGGGGCTTGCACTTGTGGCTCCTTTCTAGGGCATGGTGCGATTCCAAAGAAAAAGCATGAAAAAGCTGAAGAAAGTTGGCCTCTGAAATACTGTTGGTGTCCCCATGTCGCGGGCCCCAGAGTTGCACACATCAACATGAATCAGACTTGTTGAATCCACAACAGGAAAATCAAAGATGGTATCCGGAGGTATCAGCGCCAAGCACCTGACGACGACTGGCCTCAAAGGCCCTAAGCACATGGCCAAAATGAAGGGATGCGCTGCCCAGGCGGCTCCAATGGCCATGGCCAACAAAGGTCTCAGCTCCTGCGTGCCCCCCCTGGGCGGCTCCCTACCTGGCCATATTAGGGTGATGGTGGGAACATGGGAACCTCACATAAGATTCAATTAAGAAGAGTATGTTCTTGCAAAACACCTTCTCCTACCCAAACGCTCCATGGGACTGGAAATCAAATGTCCCAAGACATTGACCCTGTTTCAACTATCAGTACCGCACTTCCCGGCTCTCCAAGCCCAGCCTGGTCCGAACAACGCCGCGTATACCACGCATTATGCGACGCCGGAGGGACGGGACAAGAGCCGGAGGTTGATGAAGGGACGCCACGAGAGGCATGAAAGAGAAGCGTAGGCACAGGCATGCATGGGCTATATATAGGCTCTCCAACGAATCCATGGTCAAAGGAAAGCTTTAGAATTCAGATGAATTTCGAATCGGCAACCCACACACACTCATCCATGTATGGCATCCATTAGGCATAAAAATGTATGTGTGAATTGTATTCCAGTCCCCTCGAGTCTGTGGGTTAGAGTTTGTCAAGTCTTCGTCCACTACGCTGCTCCAACCTGCATGTGACTAGATTCATTGGGTGTCTCCACCATCCAAGACGGGAGAACAAATGTGGAAGACGGTCCTCAAGGTACAAGTATGGGAGGAGCGATTTGTCTTGCAGCTTGCCCTGGCATCGCCAACATCGCCGCTCGTGAACAGCCGGTGTCGGCCAAGTGTGCAGCAAAAGACTTGCATTTTAGTAACTAACTTATAGACTGATGCCAATCATCGTGCATACAGGTGCAAATGAGGGATATATAGAAACGTACATACAATACACAAAATGATTCGAATATATATATATATATATATATATTGACGTGACCAAGTCTGTTTCGCCTCTCTTCGCTTGGTCAGTCTGTAGATTTGGAAGGTGACATAGCCGAAGATGAAGCGTACAGGAATGCAAAGTGCAATATCCAAAAGCTGCATTTCCTAAGCTGTCCCAATGCCGAACCCCACGAAACCCCGAAAAAAAAATGCCGGTGGTAGAGCTCCCCCAAATGGGAAAATCAAGATGAGCGCTCGGATGCCCGGTAAGTTTTGGGACTGAGATGACAGGATCTTTTTGGAAATCTCCACAGCGCCAAGCTTCCATCAACTCATGTGAATTCATGTGACCCGTACACATCGTGAAGCATGGCAAAATGCTTCAATGGAGTCTTGCATGTTGGCTAGCCCGTCAGTCAAGTGGGAGGGTCCCCCAAACAGGCATCATACTCATACAGGATTCAAACATTCCAGGACCATCATAACAATTTAAGGGCTCAGAGTAGATTTCAGAAAACACGCTGTGACGATGCGTTCATGCCGCCATAGCCCAAACACGACCACTGGGACCGTATTTACATGGTGGGTGGTCTCAAGGTAGGTCCCATGGAGTGATCCTGAGTGATCTGCCAAGGGCTCCATCACGCCCATGAGGTCCCCCGAGAAGACTTCAATGCCCCAGCGCGGCAGCTGGAGCTTCCAGGACATCGGGCCGACTGCAGCGAGGCCAGTTGGAGGGAGTGAATGATCTCAAGCAAAAGGTTGGCAGGGCTGCGGGGGTATTTGCATTCTGGGATGACCACCCATGGAAAAGCAGCACGGAAATCAGGCAGAAACGACGGAAGGTCAGTACAGCATGCAACCTTTGATCTGGGAGGCCACAGTTGCAAACTCCGCGCTCCAAATTGCTACAGTGTAACAAGCTGCTGTCTTGCCCAAGTAGCTGGTGTCAACATTGGCTATAGTGCAGCACTTTGGGCTTCACATTACTTCCACACATCTATGATGTGCATATCATTCCATGAATATCAATTCCCAACCTGTTGCAGGTCAGTTGCAATGAATGCACATTTCACCCCAACCAGCAGTAAAGCTACAGGGTGGCATCTTCAGCCAGTAGCCGGTCAGTTCGGCGTTTCCAATGAAGGTTGTTCAGAAACGCTGCAACCCAGGCCCACTGGCCCAAAAGGGTCCTCTTTTCATGTTGGCTGTCCCCTTCCATTCCGCCTTCCATCAGCGCGGGAACGTGTGCGTCGCCCATCGGCGCCCGATGCGAAGAGCGAGGCGGAGGCGGCACGTGGGGGACGTGGTTCAGATCACTTGAGCCGGACAGGGCGTGAGCATGCGTGAGCAGTGGAAAGCTATACATGATGAGATGCAGGTGTGGATTTCTGCGGAGACGTCTGGAATCCAGATTTGGAATCAGTTTAATCCTGATGTAGATGATTAGGAAAATTATGGTAGTTTCAGAGTATATTGGCGACACAATCCACCAAAGGTGGTTTATACATTACGTGTGTCGTAATCCATCCATTTCGACTCAATTCCTTGCTGCGCCCTTGTTCAAGAGGTTTCTCGCATCATCTACCAAATACATTCAAAAGAAGGGGTTTGGAACACCGGCTCACTCGGTGTATACAGGTCCCATACATAAAGTTTTGAGACGGGCACACTCCCACCCACAACAGCCCACGGGTGGCGGTTGCAATGAGTGTAAATCAGTAAATCTCTGTGGTTTCGAGAAGTCTCCTGAAGTGTTGGGGAGCCCTCTCATCAATTATTCCTGCAACCCAACCCCATCTGCCGACCACACCAAAAGCACGGCAACCAGACCTGCTCGTGCGGCTCATGGCCAAGCCCGTGCGGAAGGGTCCAGTAAAGTACCTTTCAAAAAGTCCTACATAGTCCTACTATGTCCTACAGCTCATTTGCTCCATATCATAGCAGTCCCATTACCAGTTGCCAAAGAAGTTCTACATGGTCCTGCTATGCTCCTGAAAAAAAACCCTTTCTGAGATCGCTGCTTCAGGATGCTTCGGGTTCATTACAAAAGGTTCTTTTTGGTGCGAGGTGTGTAGCTGAACATCCTTTGAATCCACATCCCGAAACATGAAGATTGAAACTTGGCATGTGTCAACTCCCTGATCCGTCGGATGCCGGCTGAGCCAAAGCGAGAAACATCAGGAGCTCATGAAACGAACACTGCACAGCCTGGTGGCCCAATCCAAAGCACAACGGGAACAACTCTGCGAGGCACAAAATTTTGGCATGCACTAATTGCACTCCACGCTTTGCAGGACAGTCATCCAAAGTGTGTTCTATCCAAGAATTTCACACATGAGGTCGCTTCCAACATGGTGTTGAATAATCTGTCTCTGACAATTTCCCAGCACCCCACCACCAAAATGATTAGTTAAATAGCAGCATGATCCGCGTTTAGCATGGGAGGTGGCCTGATTGCGTCAGGTTCCTCATACAAAACATGGAGCAACACAGGCAACACACCCTTCAAATTATCATGCCAATGAAGATCAATGAAGCACGTCTCTTCGATTGATCGATTCTCCTTCGCACGATAGGTCGAAGCACCATACTTTTCTGTGGCCGACATGGAGGCAACCCAAACACGGCCCGTCACCGATGCGGTTCTTTTGTGCGCTGGTCGAACAGGGCCAACAAGTTAATCCATGGCCCAGGGCAGCCGATTGAACTCTGGGATGTCAGCACCAGTGCGCACCATCTCCCGCTCACGAGACGTGCCGTGCTCGGGCTGCTCGCGCTGCTCGCGCTGCTCGCGCTGCTACGCTTGAGGAGCGCATCGAGGAGCGGTCGCCCCCGACGTGCGGCCACGAGACCGGACGTGACCGGAGCCCGGAGCCCCCAAAAAGATTGGTCTTTGGGAAGGCTGACGGTACAACTACACACACGTCCTCTCACAACATTTCACCACTATTTGTCCTGACGGGGTCCACGTCGTAAAACATCTCAGGATGCTCACGGCAGGTGCAGCTAACCCATAAGAACCACAGCTAAACCAAATAAGCCATACATCTTGTCCACCACGGCCAATCGTTCTCGGACAATTAGACCAAAAAAGGGCTCATTACTTGGACTTCTTGAGCAACAAGAATGTGGAAAGCCACGACCAATCGACACTTTGTGACATCAAATATTTGAAGATGTCCAAGTGTCCAAAAGTAGGTCAGTCCGTAGGTCTATCTATTAAATAGAATATGCAGAGACCTGCAATTGGACAACCTTTGGGCTTTGGAGTGTGGCTTCCTGCGGAGTGGACTCATCACGTTCACCAAATCGGTCCTCTGGGCGCACAGTGCATGCCAAAGCGTTTGTACATTACAGTCAAGCCGACATTAGCCAGACTGAGCAAGCAAATTAAACACCCGGCCGCGGCCAAGGTTCCTGTCTCGCAACATTGTAAAGAGCGACAATCCCAATTCCTTTATGGGCTGTTTCATGCTGTTTCTGCTTTTATCTTATAATTTGACCCTGCTTGCTACAGGTTGTTGGTTGTTCCTGGTGTTGTTCAATTGGCCACCGAAAACGTTAAACAAACTAGAACCATCCAAATCTACGAGTGTGCTATCTTCAATAGCTGCCAAGCAATAAGCTCAAGCCAAGCCCAAAGCAACTCAAAGACACATCTCTTTTGTAAGAACTTTAGCTCATGACCTAAGCCCAACAGGCAGCTTTCGAGCGGTTTTCAAGGCGTTCCGGCCGATAAGGAGGATTCTTATTGCCAAGTGGTCACTACGAGTGCTAGGCCGGCCAATCCAAGTCCAAGCCTATCGGCACCTGATGTTCGAGAAATCCATGCAAGAGAAAACTTACGATAGTGGACATCGATTCTGAAAAACTGGAAAATAGTCCTAGAACATATAGCACTGCCAATATATTGCCAAGAGAAAATAGACCTGAAGCACTGGATGGGCAATGACAGTACTACACATCTGATCAGGCGATTCTTTATGTCCTAGTCGATGTAACAATGATGATCTTGCTGGTGGTGATGACGTTTATGTACCATTGAGAGGGAGCCTTCACCTATAAAAGTAGCAGTCTATCATAAAACTTGCACTGGCTGCTGCAGGGGGAAGGTTAGATCAAGTTAGATCCAACATTAAGATAGAGCAAGGCTGCCTGCTTCCTTGATGACGCATCATACGCGCTCCCCAAAAGTCGAATGAAACGTCTTCCTTCGCTCCCCACTGACGCTCTGAGGCCATCACTGCAATAAGGCTTTTCCTGCGGTGGAGCACCCAACTTGTTCAGTTGGGCCGACACACTGGCCGACACACATTCGAGGCCAGCCAAGGGCCCTTCATCACATGTGTTTTTTTTCCGCTGGATCCTTCGTATGTGACCAGTTCGGGCCTTTCTCCCGAGTTCGGGACTGCTTTGTGAAACATGTTCAATCAGTTCATGGCTTCAGTCTCTGATCAGTCACGGTCTTCTGCAGATGTCTGCGAAACCACACCATACCACACTCGGTCACCTGCGTCCGGATGCGTAGGGGTCCTCTGCGTCCGGTGATGCCTTGATCTTTGGCGAACTTCCAGAAGGACTCTGGCACATGGCTCGCATCCTGCAGACGGACGAAGAACCTCCGAAGCAACGAACATCCGAACCATGCACGGTGGACGCCAGACCGGAATCTTCTGACCCGAAGTCCTTGGCCTGTCACAACCGTTTCATGGACATCGCTGTCATGCACAAGCGTTTCTGTTTCGCCGTGAATTTCACAACCACTCGCAGGTGTGGTTTCCGTCCCGCCCGCCCGGTCCAAAACACCATCCGAACCGTCCCAAAGCAAGCAGTAGAGCACCGTGCAAGCTGTACCTAGCGACTGGCGGAAAGGTGACATCAAAGCTATTGCATCATATTGCATCATAGTCTCTCCAAATCTCTCTAAGCTGTTCCAAGGTGCGTGACAACATCATATTAAAATATATATATATATAGAATAGTTTATAGATGTAGTATGTTACAGTTTATAGGAGGATGCAGGACGAATTTCTTCACCTTTCGAGAAACTGGGGCACATTCCACGGTGGACAGGACTGCCTGACTAACAAAGAGCATCATGATGGCTGTGACAACTCCTTAGCTAACTGACACTCTGAGAACAACAAAGGTGCTCCTTCCTCAAAGTTGACCATCCATCGATAGCAATGATCTAGCACCAGGTGTGGCATATGCGTCCCTACAACCAGCCCATTCCCAGACGTTGATTGACAGGAATTGACTGCAAGCCGATGTCATGCCAAATGCACTGCCAAGAAACCAACAAGCTCGCCACTGGTTGCCTGCAGAGTTCTGGAGATGCCAGCTTGGTTTACCGATCGCTCGTGCCTCACGAAATGAACTCGTCTTTTAACCACTCCAGGTGTCCCATTGTCACGCGAACTGCCCCGGCGTCACTTGGAACACCGCCGCGGTCGCTCGTACATGTCCTCCACCCACAGAAAAACGACCCTCCGCGGCCGGTCGGTGGACGCCTGGACTTCCACCAGCAGCTTCGACAGCTCTCCACGGAGGCTCGGAAATCCCGAGGCCTTGATCGGAATGGAGGGCATGGCATGGGACCGGTCTGGAATCGATCGATCGATCAAAATATGGTGTAGGCACCTGTTTCATCCTGTCCCACTGTTCATATCTGCTCATTTTGGAAGTACATGTATCATCATGCATCTCATTATGCCATATTTAAACAAATAAATATATATATATGTATAACTATATATATATATACAGTCTGGGGGGGTAACTTTCTTGTAAAGCCAGTGCGCTGAGTGGCGCCAGGCTAGCATAAAGGATTCTAAAGTTCCAAAGGCTTCTCAAGGCATGGTACAGATCGAACAAAAACAAGCGGCGCGCTTGCGCGCCCCCACCCACACAAACGTGCCTGTCTAGCGGTGGCGCTCCCAGAACACCCTCCGGCGCCTCCAACTGGTGCAGGAGCTCCGTGGCCGGCTCCAGCCACATGCTGTGCCTGATAAGGTCGACCGCTTCGCGCGTTTCGAACAAGCCAACGTTGGGGTGCAGGTCGGTCAGGCAAGAGAAAAAGCGAAGATGAGCGAAAATTACGCCAAAGAATACGAGCAGGTTCTCCAAGATGAGCCCATGAGTTCCAAAAATATACCAAAATCAACAGCAACATGGCGTGCCGCCAGGAGAAATAGAACAATGCAAACACCTCCGGCACGATTTACGCACTGGATCGCATCTACCACCGCTGATTTTTACATTTGGGTGCCAAATTGAATCCAAATCTACCGTATTATAGGTCCTATGTTTGCACGATGACCGTTTAGGCCGTGGGTGTTCCTTTCGATTCCCTGCATCCAACCTGATCCACTCAACTCGGCTGAATTGGCTTCGCCTTGTCACTGCCCAAAAGGCGCCACAGCCAGCGAGGGCAGCCAAACATGCGCTTCCGACCACTCTCCTCAACTACGGGGCTGCAGCAGCGGCTCGCGATAAATGCATTGATATCCCCATGTCAGGATGCTGGAGGCCCTCATTAATAAGAAAAAGGCTTCCTGTTTTGGATCTATTTGGAGCATTTTACAGCCAGGACCCATTGAAAACCTTTTCAAACCACTCTTGCAACACCTCTCCCTACACGGAACCCGGTCTCCCTGACCTCAATTGATTTCTATGGAGCAAGATGCAGGAACCACGCGATGAGCGCCAGGATGGACACCAAGGTGCCGTGGCTTCCGAGGAGTTCTGCAGCCTGGAGGTGCGTACGTTGGGCGGGTTGGAACGGGGTCAATTGTGTAGGCATATATTCCAGTCCCCACTTGAGCGCCTGGGAAAGAGCAAACTGTGTGTGGGCAAACGAGCGCAAGTGGAAGGTACACTTGGCACACACATATAGCTGTGTGCGTGTTCCTGCACTTTTTGGCCAATGTACGAGAGGGTGTCATCTGAATAGATCAAAGTTGAGTTCATCAACCAAAGGAACCAAAGGATGTGATATATATATATATGTATAATATATATATATATATGTAACTACTCAAAGGCAGGTGCCCACCTTAGCCGCAGCAACTCCATAGGACTGCGAACTCAGTGCAATGTCCACCTAGGCCACTCAGGGTGGCTTGCCAAGAAACATCCAATTGTACGCAAAAGTCTTGAACCAAAAACATCAAACAGGCAAAATTGGCCCTCCTGAAACAAGCCGCCGTCACTGTCATCAATCATGTGTCGTTATACTCCCACATGTCTGAATTTTGCTGCCACAACACGATGAATGTATCACAGGAACCCTGCTGGCTTACACGCTTTTGGCCGAATGCGAACAAGATACATATGCATGGCTGCTAAGGAATTCCGTCCAGGCTTGCAATGTAGCAAGCAACGCATCACAAAGGACCTGTGAGAAGAACACATGTTCAAGGACAAAAGTTTTCCACAGTTCTCCTCTATGGCTTGGCATTGAGTGACATATGGAGTGGCATACATTCAAATGCATGATTCATGATTCAACCTATCGTGCCAGCGGTCACCACTAGTAGCCACTTCAGGTCAAATGAACCCAAAACCTATTCAGGCCTATTCATCCTTACAGAACCGAAGAGTCGTTGTACAACTTGAATCTTCATGTCTTCAAGCTGTGGTGGGCGTCTGCTTGCGCATACCACTCCACAATGAAGCAGATTTTGGCAAACGATCCCTACACTTCGCCGAACACGTCACGTGAAAATAGAAGACCCCTGTTGGTTCCAAGACAAGCTCTTCCCAGCAATCAAGGGATCCACTTCCATGTTAGTCCAAGTGTGCATGTCCGCATTGGGCCTTTTTCCCGCATAATATACAGGAAACGCCCCCAGCGCCCCGTCCAGCCCCAGACTCACCCAATCCCAGCAGCTGTGAAGCAGCGACCGCACCGTTTCGCTCGTTTCTGGTCTGGCTCATCCTCCTGGAAGAAAGGGGTGCAATTGCTTGTCAGGACCAGGACAGAAACGTGACCCACCTAGCTGACAAAACCCTTGACAAGGCTGGTAAGATGGAAAAGCGACCCATCTCATCTCTGTCTAGTTGGCTTGTGAGTTACTTGAATTTGACCCAGACCCACATCATGTTTCACACCTCATTCCTGGAGGCTAGAGGAGTTGCCCTCCACAAGGCCCTCACAATTCCTGGAAGATACTGGAAAATCATAGGCCCGGCCTGCAATAGATCTCCAAACACGCGACGTTTTCCCAGGCCCAGTGCTACAGCAAATCCGTCGTCTCCTGCCGCAGAGCCAGGTGCAGCAGCCAAAGAGCCCAGCGCAAGAGCCGGAGCAAGGCCAAAGTGCAGGCGCCACGTGCTAAGGACCCCAAGTGCCAAATAAAAGCAATCACCAGTCCTGAAACGTCCGGGAGATCGGACCTCACGGATCGGTCCAACAGATGCACACAACCACCCGACACACACATACAGGTGCAAAGCAACATACAGGAAAGCTCAGGAGCAAATATCAACACATCTGCTGAAACAACTACACCCTATATACTCACATGAAACTTGGCACCTCCACTGGTAGCCAAACAGGAACATAGCCCACCACATCTGGATTGTCTTGCGCAGCCTTCTCGAAACTGTCGGTCCAGTATGCCCAACCTAGCCATTGGCAATTGTGGACCACTGACACATAAACATATACGTACACATAACTACACAATATCAAGAAATATATAAATCTATTATAAAGCAAATTAAGCACCATTTGGGATTTACGAAGTTTCAGGGAGCCATACATCCTTGATTCCTCCATCGAATGTCCTGGTGTCCCTGGCGAACGCAACTCGGACAATTCAGCAAAATCCAAGGGTCGGCCTGGTCATGTCAATCTTCAGGGCCATTCTAGGATATTCCGGGTGTGGCATTAGAATAGGGAAACCTCCCTCTAGACTCCAGATTGATTTTTTCCCCAGTTCCTCCGCACAATCACTGCACCTAAACGACACGCCACCTGGTGCCCTCTCCCTTTTCCTCCGCCACCTCTCCTTCGATGGCCGGTGCCAGTGGCAAGTGTCGGGCCTTGCCCGAGCGGCTCGTGCCCGGGGCAAAGTACCAGGTGGCCACCGAATAGGCCGTGGCGAAGACGCACGCGGCGCCCATCAGCTCCTCGATCGATCCACGGCAATGCGTTCCGGGACGCGGCTTCCGCTCCGGCGCGGCTTCCGGCCAAGTGCGTGCGGGCGAAAGGACGTGGGGCTTACGAATGCCACGCGTCAAGTGTGCGTGAGATGGGTTGAAGAGGACTGGAATGAAAACATGGGTGCGATCTGCTGGGAACGTTATGAACCGGGCTAGTGATTCCCATGCATACAAGTCGACAGGCCATGAACTTTGTGGGTGGGAACCATGAATGGGCAACTGAAAACAAGCTCCTGGATCCAAAAGCAGGAGAAGACCACGCAAATGAGGCGCAAATAGTCCACTGCCGCCAAGTGAAATTGCCGGAAGACCCCTGGCCAAACAAATAATGAAGACCGCCTAATGCACCTGGCAGACCTTGGCCGTCTGGGCTGACCTTGACCTTGGAGTCTGGAGGAGCACTTTCGCACTCGAAAGTGACCAATTATGGCCTTGGCATCTACAGCTCTACGCCGCGCCTGAGATGCCCAGCAGTGTGAGCTCTGAAACCTCCGCTGTAGAAAGGAGCACTGCTAGCGTCACCAGCAGCAATGCCCAAAGCAGGTGAGACAGAAGGGCATCCAACAGCGGCAACAGCAGCAGGGAAGGCATGGCCAACATCACCTGGGCGCGAAGTGGTCCAGAAACTTGCAGGGCAAACCGGTGCAAACTATATAATTTCTGATGACGGGGCATTTGAACAATTCGGAGGCTTCACACAATACTGATGGCGGGGGACACTTCATGTTCAACAAGAAGAGACCCCTGGTCCGGTCTCCAATCTCTGGGGGAGTTCTTGAATCCGATGCCAATGGGAATCAATGGGATCTTCCTGTAGAATGGAAGTCCTTTTGAACCGTTGTCTGGGCCTGTTGGGCTGTGCGGACGAAAGCCATGTCTGCAGGGTCTGCTGTCGACAAACAATTGAATAACACGTCCGAGACAAAACGAAAACCAACACAACAAGAGCACCAAACTTGGACCAAACACATATAGTCGATGTGTGCGCATCTGCTCCAGGGAAATTCTCTGTGCCACGGGCGCTGCATGGGCATCCAAAGGTATTCAGAATATATATATATATCATATTACAGTAACAGTTGTCCTGCTCGCTCGCATGAAAGCAATAATAATAGACAATGTATACAGTATACACATATAAGGGTACAAACCGTACACACATAGAACCATATGATACAAGGCATATTCCCCTACAAACTCTGCAGACAGTCTCACCGCGACTGATAAAAACCGCAATGCAGCAGGGTCACCAGCATTGTTAACATTCCCACATATGGAGATGTAAAACACTGTTAAAGCTCTTCTGGATCCAGGGTTTGGGACAAATCCACCGAAAACCTCCCCGCAGGCACCATTCGCCGAGGCACTGCGCAGGACTCGCGGATGCAGTCGGAGGCCACGTCCAGGCGACGCCGAGCACAAAGGCCACCTGGCACCGAGCCGAGCCACGTCGAGCAGTTTCTGTGCGCGGTCGAGTCGGCAGGGAACCTGGCATTGATGTGTGCGGTGCGAGGGTGGTGTCTTTTTCCGCGCGCATCGACCCCCTCCGTAGCGTGCAAAGGATGGTTCTGGTGAGATGCTCTTTTTGCCTTGGTGAGGTGGTGCGGTGGGCAAGGCATTGATGGCGATATACTTGGTTCAATCATGAAATGCCATGAAACATGGAGAAACTCGTGAAAACTCGTGGAGCGGTGCTGTCTGAAAGGTGAGTCTCACAGGCCAATAGATAGACCCCCAAATTGATGGAAAAGCAAATCCCCACTGAACATGTATGGGAAACCGTTTCTATCTATTTTGGGATCACTATATGGTCAATAGTATGAATGAGCTATATATCTGCACCTGTCAAAGATGCAGCCGCCAGAAGGAGGAGCAGCGACAGGAAAGCCGCCAAAGGTGCAGGGACTGGCAGGTCGTGTGAAGCAAAAAAACACTCAGACTGCCAAGACAAAAGCTCATAATCTTCAGGCTTCTTGAATCCTTCCAGCATACTGCCATTGCCTGCCGGAGTGGGTTAGTTATGTGATAGGAAATGGTCCAGGGCCGGGCGACAGGAACACTGACAAAGTCAATCAGCATCAAAACCCAAGTCGAAACAACCTTCGTATGTCCGTCTATCTCAGGCCACCACGCTTGGCTGAAGCCACATTGAAGGTATTGATGACGGAAGCTGGCAGCGAGAGCCATGAGAGGCCTGGCGCAAATCCACAAGTCAACAAGAGCATATTGTTGGAGGGCACAGGCGTCATGGAAGAGTCGAAAGCAGGCAGAACACTAGCAAGACCGTGCACTTCCACAATACTACATCCTCAGTGATGCTGACCTATGCATATGGCGCGCTGAGAAGCAATCAAGGCCAGGTGACAATGTTGAGAGTTGAGAGTCCGAGGAACGAATATTGAATACATACTTTGTGCACGTAAGAACCTCCAGCCAAACCCATGCCACTGTCACTGAGGGCCGCTGAAAACATCTTAAAACTACCAACTTGAATGGGAGGCGAGCATCTCGCATTGAAGAGAAGCAGCTACTCTTCACCAATTTCTTCGAGAAACATCTTCACCAATGCGGCAGTGGGTCTCGGACTTCTTCTCTGACCCCGCCCCGGGCCACCTGAAAGGACTGCAGGACTGCAAAGGGCCAGAAATACCACAGAGCCGGCCAAGCAAAGGAAAAGGGCCAGCAGCATGGTGGCATGCACGAAGAACAAGGCCTTGGAGAGCAAGGACAGCCTTGAAACGTGGCTGCGAGTTAAAGTCTTACTATAGACTCTAGACTATATATCCTGACAATATTAACACATTATTATATAAGCATCCCGTCTCATTTATATGAAGAGCTGGAAGGGGTGAACACCGTTGAGGTGAGCCTATACAGTATCTGCATTATTGTCTTTACCTCCCACATTGCAGGAGCTTCCTATGAAGTCGACAGGACACCTAAAAACCGGCCAAGTGGCACAGTAACGGAGGCACAGCAGATAAGCCATATTCAAGGCCAACACCCAAAGGCCTGTGCCATAATGCCGCATGGACACCAGTTGTGTCACGACTGGTCTGTAAGTGACATCGTTTGACTGAAAAAGGTGTCCGGACGGGTTTTGTCTGAAAATAGGCAGACCCACCAAGGACTGTTCAGATCTTGTAGCATTCCGAACGGCACCACTTGCTCTCCTGCCACTGCCAGTGCTCGAGGGACAGAAGCCAACTGCCGCGCGCGCTCCAAAAAACCCAGCAGCTGCGCAGCAGCGGCACCTGGCCGAAGCCGGCGAAGCAAAGTGACGCAAAGCCAAGTGGACAAAGCCAAGAAGATCCAGAAACAATGTGAAAAATACAATGAATGGATCATGGTCAAATAGCTACTATATATAAATCTCTCTCTATATATATATAATCATATACCCCACAAATGCGACTATAGCAGGATTGTCGCGATAGCTTTGGACCGGGCCAATGTGCCGTGAAAAGTGAACAATCAGGGTCGGGACTTGCGGTGACTTGTGATATGACGGGTGGACAACATCGCAGGACAAAGAAAAGAACAAGCTGAATATCTCGAGAAGCAGACTTAAAGCAAATCTACAGCAGTATATCTTTTCTTCCATGTCTCCCATGAGCCTGGGACGAACTCTTGGGCACTCCACTGATTAGTACAAGTGCAGCACGTAGGCTCGACAGTTTCCAGCAAGTGAACCTGGTTAACAGCACCCGGTTAACAGGACAAACATACGCCACAGAACCACTTCCCTGCATCGACATGGATCGAAGAACCCAAACTCCCAGAACCTCGGATCCGCGATCGAATCCCCCAAGCTCGGACGCCGCAGAAACCATCGAACGGTGTCCGTTCGATGGCCGGCGAATCGACCGAAGCCGTAGGGAAACCCGCGGAGACGACGAGACAAGCGTAGCTGCCATTCTGAGAAGTTCTCTTCATTCAACGGTGTTTTATGATGTGTTGATGATGTCTGCTCCAGGGTCCGCCTTTTCATGCCCATCTCACCCTGAAGTGGAGCCTGAAACGGAGCTTGGGAAGCTGTCGAGCTCAGGAAGTTCTGGCACGCAGTAGCGGTCTAGCCATGTACTTGTTGTGGTGCCCACCTGATGTGTTTGCCGCCGATCAAGCGAGCTGAGCGGTGAGAGGGGTGGTGTTTGTAGCGCTGCTGAGCTGGGAGATGTGCACTTCCCTTTGGATAATCCATCTGTGAGCTATTAACAAGAAGTTTCTCTTCTTCAGCTGAACTCTGGCAGCACATGCAATTGTTGACAATGGTTTTGGACAGTTTGGGTATCGTACTTATACGCAGTCTCAAACGACCAAACACACTTAGGATTGAAGTGAATTATAGCATGATCAATAGCCCTCGCAAACTCCCGGTTCAAATCCCACGACTGACGGCACAAATATATATATATATGTATAGTTCATCACATTTCACCACTGGAGAGTTGCCAAAAAGCTCCCCCAACGGTATGTGCAGGCAAAAATTCAATAATTATTCATGGAGTGTCGGCCGGTGGCCAAAACCCGTCCTCATCGGGCGACGACCCAACCGCGCAGCTTGCACAGCTTGCGCAGCTTCTCCCCAGCCTGGCTGGGTGACAGCAGCTGCTTCTCCGTTCGCACGAGGAGCACCTGGCCACCTGCGGTCGTCGACTGAAGAGTCTGCTTGATTCCGTGCATGGCCAACCTCAAAATCAGAAACTATCAGAAACTCAGCACAAATCCATCCAGTCTCCGCGGACACCTGCAGACTCTTGTGCCATGCGAGCAGGCCACATGTTCGATCCTTGATTCTTACAATGCAGGCTGGGCCTCCCAATGACAACCTCTCTCTGGGCCTCCCAATTGAATTTCCAGGGGCAAATGTATGATGTTGTAACATGGAACGCCACTTGACCAAAATATTGGAGACCTATACCGATTAAACATTGTTAAACCTTTTCAGTCATCCATACTTCTAGAGTTCCAGCACCCAGAGTTCCACCGCCTTCCCGTAGTTCCTCAGACTCAGTGATCTGCAGGCCGTTGGGCTCGGGGCACAGCACGCTGGAGCCCTTGTGAGGGCAGTCCGCCACACAGATTGGAGAGGACAAACTCAGGTGATGCTCCGCCCTGTGGCAGGCGTGGCGAGACTGTTTAACATCTTGCGTGGGTCATGGTTACACAGCTGCGCATGTGTTTTCACACCGCTTAAAGCCATGGTCGAGTCATGGATGATGCCCCCATTGGCATCCCACACGCAGATGTATTACCAACATGGGCAGAGCACTCACGGTCCGCATTATATCTTGCAAACAAAGAACACACAATTTGTGGAAGTCATTCAAGTTCCCTAATGTGGTGCATTATATAAGGGCTTTGTCATCTGCATAGCCTTCCACAGCCAACACAAACTCAAATCACCTGTTCTGGTCCAGTGAGGTAGTCATGGCTCGGCAAGTCTTCTGGAAACAAAGCAAAGCACCTGGCCTAAAAGTACACCAGTGGAGCAACTTTTGAGCTTCTGCACCTGAGATGCAAAAATGAAGGACCCCCCCACGGTTGCAAAGGCCTGACTCAGTGGATAACAAAGGCTAAACGGAGGGTGTGTGGAGAAAGGGGGGTCAGCAAAAATCGCTTATACGAAGTTAGTGCATCAAAAATACCTTCCACGAAGTTCTGCGAAGGTTTCTGGGATTTCGTTGCAGTCAGTTCTCCTACTGGCCCACCATTCCACGAACTGTCCACGAACAGCCTTGGGTTCTACGAAGGTCACGCGCCTTCCACGACGTTAGTAGAATAGGTGTTTGCAAAACCCTTTCTGTGCACTACCCTTCCGTTTGCCTTTGAAAATGCAAACCGCCTCACCGCCTCACATCAAACTCAAGAGTGTCTAGTCCCAGAGACCTTCTTCCTGCAGCTCATCTGCCATATCTACCTGTCTGGATGGATCTGGACGCTCTCCCTTTGGCCGAAGACGCCAGCACTCCAACCGCAAAGGCGTCCACGGTGATCAATGCCCCGCGAAAGCTTTTGCAGATCAATTCGGTCTACCACCATGAGACCTTGGTCTCACCGATGCGCTCCGCGCGACGGTGCTCGGTGCTCGGTGTTCGCATCGAAGAGTGAGGATGTTTCGACCATAATACACGGCCTTCACCATGTCTGCATGGCCTTCCACCCCCACAAACAAGGACGATGATACCGTCTGGACCCTGTGGCAGGCAACTTTGGCTGAATGAAAAGCAACTGCGCCAGAAGCTACTGGGTGTGCGCAGCAAGGTACGTCCAGCCACATGAAATGTCACCAACCTTCACCTCAACAAATTGACCGCCTATAGAGAGCGCTTTAAAGAACAACAGCCCGAAGCCACTCCTGCTAGAATGAAAGACCCCCTCACACTTTTATTACATATTGTCTGAATGCCAAGGAACAGCTCTGTGCAGTGACTGCAAGGAAGGCCAAGAAGCAAAGGCCACAACCCACATCGCTGCACCTGCGCGGCGCCACGCCATCTGTGCGCGAGGCGCGCACAGCCTGGCTCAAAGCGCCGGTTCAAAGCGTCAGCTTGCGTTGGTCGAGAGAGGACTCGGAATCGGAGGGAGGAGGGCTTCAATAGGGCCAGCTGGCCCGAATGAGAATGAGATAGAATGAGAATCCACATCACCTGGACCGCGAAAAATGACAAGTGTCAGCCAGCTTTAGCACAATTCCTGGGCATTGTATTCGAGAAAACTTGGATGCCATGCTGCATTGACATCTTCAGGAGTGTCACACCACATTCTCGTGACATCATGACATCGTTATTTCAAACTTAAACTATATAGATGATCCAGATGTGCACGTGTGCACAAGAATAGGGAGACCCGCCAAAATACCGTAGAAAATGGACCATGACCCTAAAGTCGGGACTGGATGGCACTTGTACCATCGTGTACGCATTTTTAGGAGCACTTTCCTGGTGCTTTCTCACACCTGCGACCTCCGTTCGCTGAGTTGGGTCAAGCCCCAACATCGTGCCTGACTTCGGCCTGGAGTGGCGTCCCGTGGCCTGACGAAGTAACCGTTCGGGTGGCAAAGAAGTGAGGATCAAACCGCCAAGGTGCTGGCGAACATTCCAACAAATGAACCACTGTCAACGCTTTCTATCTAGAACCTGAAAATAACGATTCGATATATATATATATACATTTACAGTTCTACACAGTGCGTTATAGTGCATTCAATTGCATTCATCATCAGGTCTCTATGGCATCGCTCTTTGGAGTGTCCTTCTTCATCAATCACTTTCCAGGCAATGCTCTTTTTGTCAAAATGGCGTCGAATGTTTCTCACATAAGCTCTGCCGCACCCCGCTGCTTGATATCACACTTTTGCCACCTCTTCGCGATCTTCATGGCGGTCACATCGTGACTTCGAGATAAAGCTCTTCTGGATCACAAGGCAGGCCGTCGACGACGGCCGTCGCCACTCCACTTCGTCGACGAGTCTTCTGAAGTCCGTCTCCACACGTGGACCGCTGACCAGATCAGTGGAAAGAACACATGGGCCACTCGTGTGGCCCACACGAGTTGTCTGCAAGAT